AACCTGGAGGGAACAGGTGAAGAGATGTCTGTGGAAGAGTTAAATGCAGATAATGAGGCACAAGGAATCAATCCTGTGGCAGAATAACACCTTGTCTTGGCCAATAACCTTTTAAAATCTGTCTTTTGGGAGTGCTGGCTGATATCTCACTTTTCATCATGTCTGCCTCAGGTTGTAAGCCTCCAGCAACACAGTCACTTTGCGCTCACAAAACCCCATTAGCATTTGTGACATTTGCATAAATGACTTTTTAATAACAAATGCAAACTCCCCATTGGAAGAGACCAGTATCTTTTGGGGACAATGCAGGAAGCACTCATCTCAGTCCCTCCTCTCCAGGAGAGGTACCGTTGTCCTTGCTCCCCAAGACAGCGTAGTAGAAAGTTGGGTTGTGGTTTCCACTCCTGTTTAACCTGGGACATGGGGAAGAGGACAGGTCTGTCAAGGGGGGCTACCACCACTTCATTTTGCAGGAGTGCAACAGCCTTTAGCATATGACCATTGTCAACATCCTCTGCAATTTTGCTGTCAGGTGCCTCCTAAGCATGTCTACCGTGTGCTACAGTGCCAGGAAGAGGAGCTCACTCAGATGGTTTCCACTATGTCGGATGGATGGCGCTTTGAGCAGGTATGGAGAAGGTAGAGGAGGGTAGAAAGGAGTTGTCTTTTGGGGAAAAGATCATGGATGCCATACAGTTCCCAGGCAAGGCACCTCCCTATCTGAGAATATTGGGTCAGTCATTGATGGTGCTATCACACGGGCTGTCTCCTGCCCCTACTCTAGAAGTTTAGAGGATACTGTGTGAGGTTAAGCTGTTTCACATCCTGGCTGATTCCTCTCCTGGTTCTCTGTGCTGCCTCCTCAGCTTAGTTATGAGGCCTGTAGAAAGGCCTCATACTGGGGGTATGGATTGGACTCCATGCTGTATGGTGGGCTTTCTGCCTTGCTCCCCAGGAGGAGTGGATGTCTGCAGTAACATGTGCTTGTGATTCTTGCTCTCCTCTTTTCTAGCTTGTGAACATTGGCTCATCCTACAACTACGGGAATGAGGATCAGACAGAGTTCCTGTGTGTGGTCTCCAAAGAGCTGTACAGCTCCCCCAACGGCCTGAGCTCTGAGCCCAGCCACAAAGCCAAGGTGAGACCGACTTTTCTATGGCCCTGCTCCCGTTGCCTGTGAGATCCTTCGCTCTTGTTTGTTCCCTCTTTCTTTCTTCTCTCCACTGTGACTGTGGGGTGCCTCATTGGTGGAATACGGGGACTTGTCCTGGTGTTCAGCACTGTGGCATTACATCCATTTCCCAAAAGGAGGAGTGCGTGTGCTGAGAGTGGTGGTATCCGGCTGTGTGTGGGAAATGGCTTTAGCAAGTGACTCTGGCACTTCTCATGCTACTCTAATATCCCCCTCATGCCTCCTCATGACCATGCTGTGTGGGTCACTCTGCCTCCGGGGTGTGATTTCCTTGAAGGTTTTGCAGCGTTTTCTTTCCTTTTGCCGAGTCCCAGCCTCAAAGGTGGGAGGTCACCTGCTCCCCTTTTGAGGGAAGGGCAGAAACGCGTGGCAGCGCATGACACCCTGTAGGCACCGAGGATGCAGGAAGGAGCGCTAACGACTGATGGCAGTTGTTGGGCAGTGGGACCACAGCACTTTTAAGTGGGTTAGGTAGCCCTGATATGATGCTCCAGAGGAAGACAAGTCGCTTTGCTCCCTGACCTACAGCTGTCTTGACCACGGGGAAAGGTCCCTTTTTATTCCAGTGTCATGACCATTGCTTTATTCCCTTGTGTGTCAGAAAGAACTGCCATGGCTCATCTTGCAAGTATCTCCACTCTTTCTTCCCTTTGTCCTGCATGCTGGGCCACAGAGCACAGAGGATGACCTGGAGGAGGAAGAGCAGGAGGTGGAGGAGGAGGCAGAAGCAGAAGCAGAGGAGAAAGGTGCAGCAAATCCTTGAGGAAAATTATAAAAATAACCCCCCCAAGCATAGACCCGTCCACCTTCCTGGTGAGAGCTCACAGCTAGCAGCAGGGAAGGACTAGGGCAGGTGTGGGCTGTGGGGACAGTCCTCTCCAGGAGCGGGAGTCAGCTCTGGAGATAAAGCTGACAGGGGAGAGCTGTTACCTTGGCTGCTGCTTTGTATTTTAAGCTGTTTGGTTTATTTATGGTTATATTTTTATTTGCAGACTGCCCATCTATTTGGGATTGCACTAAACTCTTTTTTCCTCCGGACCCTCCCTCCTGCTCCCCTCTATGTCCATCCCAGCACTGTCACCTACCTCCCACCCTGCCCCTCTCCCCAGCCTCCAGCATCCTCCCCTCCGCTCTCTTTGCCCCCCAGGGCTCAGAGTGGTTCCTGCCCGGGGCCCCGTCTCTCTCTGCTCCTCACTTCTCCTCCTCTGCAGGTACGGTACCTGTCTGCACCCTCAGCTCCCGCCAGCCTGAGCTCTGCATGAGTGACTCGCTTCCCTCCTGTGGGTATGGCCCTGGTTTGTAGAGCTTGGGGAGGGGGAGGCGGGAGGGGAGGTCGACTCATCCCTAAGGTGGCTTTTCTCACCCTGTGTGTGCCTTTACCTGCCAAGCAGCCCCTACGGCTCCGGACCAGAGGCTCCGGCAGCAGAAAGGAGAGCGCAGCTGGGAGAAAAGAAGAGGGGCGAAAATGAATGCCAAGCAGGCAGGGGTGGCACGGGGAAGGGGAGGAAGTCCGCCACGCGTCCGCCTGACACGCATGCCAGGTCTCTTCTCCAGACTGCCGCCCGCAGCTCCTTTGCCTGCCAGCCCGAGAGCAGTTTGCAGAAGGCAGCCTGTTATTTTCCCCTCCCCGGCTCTCGCTTCCCTGGACTTTTCCCCCGCCGCCTCTGCCAGGGTGGGAGCGCAGTGGGAGAGGGTGGCGAAGGCAGAGCGGAGGTGGCTGGTCCCCGCTCCAGATGTTCTCGCAGCTGTGTGCGAAATGAGCCTCTGTGCTCTGCCTCCTGCTCAGGGAGGGTGCCTGGCTGGCATGCGTGGGGCTGGGTAGAGAGAGCTCCAGAAGGAGGATTCCTCTCTCATGTTGGAAAACTGTGGGG